TTTGATTAAAGCCCAGTATCTTTTGGGGAGAGCAATGGGCCCACTTATGAGGCCCCCGCTCACCTGGGTTGTACCCATCCCCAATTACCATTACTATTACCATTACAATAGCAATCAGCAAAATAGATGGCAAAGGAAGCTGAAATTAGCACAATGAAGTTAAAAAAAAGCAGAACCAGAGGAAAAAGGTAAAAATCACAGTACAAATGTATCAAAATTTTGAAGGGTTTTAAGGATGCTGAAGACAGCTCCATCAGAAAAAGCTAAAGGTCGTAACAGAGATGTCCTGAAGGAGCTGAACATTTTGGTTTACAAATTGTTGTATTAGCACAAAAAGTATGGAACAAGATACGTGTTGAAAAACATCCAGAAGAAACAACTGATCTCGATAATGTAACGTCACTTTATTACATCTCCAAACTCAAAGACTTCACAATGATTTATGCAAACGTATCAACTTTTACCCTAATTTTAATTGCACATAGAATTTCATGTCGTCCAGAATCTCTCGGTGGAGAACAAATTACCTCATATGTGATGAGCGGATCAGGGGAGTCTTGGTCACTGCAATGAAGGAATCTGCAAACAAACGATGGAGGGATTTACTTTGCAACATTTTGTTTAGTAAGCACACATCACTAACCCACACACAGCTACGAATCTAATCCACACAYAAATCTATGTTCCAGCTCTGTTCTCCTCGCCGTCTTTGTGGACGGAACAGAAAACAAGCTCTGGTGCTGCTGCCGAGTCAGCGACCCAAACTCACGGCTGTGTGAGGTCGTGAGTGATGAAGTCGGAACTTTTGAAGAGCAGAAAAACGTCACTGAGGCTGCGACACTCCAGCGAGCTGTTCAGAGCGATCCAGTTTGCATCCTGAAACACACACACACACAACAGAAAGCACACACACACCTGTTGAGTTACGCTTTAATGTCCTAAAGGTTGGCAAGACATTTTGCACCGAACTGTTCAGGAGTTTTGCCCCTCAAATGTTTTATTCTTTTTAAGGAACAGCCCAAACAGTTTTTTTTTTTCTCATCGTAAAGCAGCAGCAGAGTAAAGCATTTTACCCGGGGGGCGCTCCAGTTGAGTTTGGGGAAGGCGCGCCCACCCAGATTGTTTATGGCCTCAAGCACTTTGGTGGTGAATTCTGGGAACTCAGGAGCCTGGCAGGTATTTACACAGTTCCACAGAAAGAAAAAAAAAACAAACAAACAAAAAAATAAAAACAAACAAGACATCAGGAGCAGATATGAAAATATAGTATAAAATAATACATTTATATTCCCAGCACAGATTTTAGCCCCCTGGGACATTTCCAGGTCWTTAGGCTGTACTCACAGTGACCGTGGCTGTTGTGTCGTCGTCTGACCACTAGAGGGGAGCAGAGAGGCAGAGCACAATTTCAAAGTGAAACTGAGCACAGAAAGATCTTTTTTAAAGTATTCAACCTCCTTCAAAGTTAMAAATCCTTATTATTGCCTAAAGTAATGTTTTTGCCTTGGTTTGTTAGYAAAATWTCTTGTGRTCCATTAGAGGGATTTAAATTAAATTCTTAGAAAGTAATTGCTGCTTTCAAAATACTTTTATTTTCTGCAGTGATACAATAACAGTTTTAATATTTCACCTTAGCTAAAATTATAACTTCTCGTGAGAAGAAAGTTCTGATCTATTATTTTAATTGCCTATATAAGAAAACTCAATTAAATGTTTTTGTTCTCCGTGGCTATCAGGGAATGATAGTTTTTGTTTATATTGCTCTGTCAGCTTGTGTCAGAGTGMTGCAAACACATAATATAGGTGACGTTACCTGAACATCGTCTTCAGCATCCAACTCGCTGTTGGTTGTTGGGCTCGGCTGCGTGTGATCGCTGAGAGACGACAGAGAACAACTGTGAAATCAAAAAGCTAACTTTGAATTACACTTTGAGAAACAATGAAATTTAAGCATTTTGAGCTTGACCTCTGAATAGAAAATAAGTTTATTTAAGATTTTTGTGCATCAAAAAGTTTCTCAATTGGCAATCACAACAAAATTAATGTTTTAAAATTTTTTGTTTATGTGAGCCTGGTTGTTTTAATTGAGTCTTCTAAGCTCTGGGTAAACTAACTAACTAACTAACTCACTCAGGGTAAACTAACTAACTCACTCAGGGTAAACTAACTAACTCACTCAGGGTAAACTAACTAACTCACTCAGGGTAAACTAACTAACTAACTAACTAACTAAC